CTTTGAAGAAAAAAAACAACTTTATTTGTAAAATCATTTATCATAGCTTTGTGCCAGAATCAAATGTTAGTGTCATTTGAAATGGGACAAACCGCATAAATGTATAATTTTTTATCTTCAGTAACACTAATTGTTAAACCAACACTGATCAACGTAGTGCACGTTTTGTTTTTTTTGTCTGTGTTTTGCATACATTTTTAAAATCATTTTTTGCAAGAAAATATCACAAAAACTCTCTTGCTGTAAAAAACAAAACAAAAACCAGCTGGTTACATCGTGACAGGGAGTAGTCAGCCCAGTCAGATGTTTGTTTTTTAGGTTGCCGCAGCTGCTGTTGACAATCTTTAGGATATCAGATGATACAGATGTGCCCTCTGTGTTTTCTGCATCAGATAAAGGGAACAAGACCAGCTGACATCTCTGTGAGGTCTCCTACGTATAAAAATACATTGAATGTGTCTGTGGGTCCTGGCCGCCTTCTGCTGACATTCCCTTTCCCAACAGAGGAGCCCCAGGATAGAACAAATGTAGTGCATCGGGTCTGCAGTGTTGGATAGGGCATAGGTGATGGAGGCGGCCATCCTGCCAACACGGTGCAGAGTGAAAAGAGGTGTCCTTGTGGACAAAGAGACCAAAGAGACCAATAATTGTGAACAGATTATTACTCTTCAGAACGCAAAAATTGATGCCAAATAGATGATGTGAAGTTCATATGACAAATGCGTGCAAAAATTGGTTTAAGAGGCTGTTCCTTTTATAAAATAAGAATAATCCAAAACTTCTGTTTATTAATATATATATATATTCTATCTATCTATCTATCTATCTATCTATCTATCTATCTATCTATCTATCTAGATAGATATATCTCTATCTACAGTATATGTATCTGTATCTATATATATAGCTATAGATATATATACACACATTATATATACATTTTTAGATACTTTTGAAGAGTCACATAACTAAACAGATCCTGGCGCTGTTCCTTATACAATACAGAGACTTTTCAGGTGATGATAAAGCGGGCCGACCTCACTTACCAGTCATTATGAGGGATAGTATGCGTAGCTCTGAATTGTATCTTCACAATGGAGAAAGATCTGAATGTGTAACGTTTGTTATAATTCTTGCCAGGTATAATTTCATGGAGTGGCTTTTTCCTCAAGCAAAGTGAGGTTTTATTTGCTCCCCTCTGGAGGGTAAATTGCAGAACTATTCCCGATTCTGCCACCTTTCCCATATTCCCTGTCTGGGCTCTATTCATACTGGACCATATCCGGCCATTGCGGCGTACAGGGGCCCGTAGGAATATCTGGATGTTTGTGAAGAATGTGGTAGCCGGGTGCCTCAGGTGTTTTGGACAAGGGGGTAATGGAAGTTGATAAGATAAGTAGCTGCTGACGTACATGGTAAATAAACTGTCATTGTAACTGATTGGTTCAGTGCGGTAGTTAGCGTTCAGCCAGCCGGCTGATGTATTTGTGCCGTGTAGAATTATGGCTCAGCGGGGTGACAGCCGAACAGAAAGCACTTTCCCCGGGAAATTCTTTGATATTCTATATCTTGCCGGTATAGACGCAGTCCACATTTTTCCTTCAGGGCGGTTTTATCGAAATAACAGTAAAAACTGTCACA